TTGTGGTCTCAAATGGTTGATTATTCTAAGAAATGTATCCCTCTCTGGTGTTATTGTTCACCTTACCGATCTGTCTATTGTTTGGCTAAACACTGAACCACAGGGGCGAGTTTAATTCCAGGCATGAAAGGGAACTAGAAGCCATAGTCTCTGGGACTCCAGCAGTCTCTCTATGACCTGTAAACCTGGTCTTCTTTATGATCTTGAGTCTTTGCTCCACATTTTCTTCTTATCAAATCGAAGACCTTCTAATGTGATCCCTTTCACGCCATCGCCAGGAGTAGCACATGCCATCATCTAGTCTGCTGGTCTTAGAGTGCTGGGAGCTGAGATTTGCATGGTCCATCAGTCCATTGGGCTAAATGTGTTCCATTGGTGAGGCAGTCACCTAATCTGGTGTCAATTCAAGGACTAAGAGTGTAGGGGTGGATTCTAGGCTGTCAATCTGGAGATAGCCAATGAGACTTCTGTGTGGGCATGGCCTTCTCCTGAGAATTCTGGGAAATCTGGTACTTCCTCCTTGGAGGTGGAAGACACCTCTCTCTCTCTCTGCTACTCCCTGGGAGATATTGCAGAAGACAAGCCACATGGACGCAACCAGACCTTGGAAGCTGGAGAAGCCACAGAGAGACCCCGCCAGCTCTGAGATGTTTCCAATGACACTGGACCCAAAGACTTTCTACCCACTGGCCTGTGATCTTCTGCATTTGGCGTCTTTGCATGTATTTCGTGAGTCTGAAGAGGACTTTATAGACTGGTATCAGACATATGGGCTAATATCGGACTTATGGACTTGATCTGGACTGGGCTGCGATGTTTTCTCAGTGTTCAACTGCTCTTGTATAGGAATCTCTTTCTTATACACATATGTGTGTCCATGGATTTGTTTCTGTAGTCTACCCAGACTGACACAATTGGTTTTCGATTTACTTAGTTCTTCTTTGCTTTGATGGTATCTCAAGTCCTTTTAAGATCCCAGGCACTACTCAACAAAGTAGGATGCAGATGACTGCCTTTGTGGACATTGGTGGCCCTCAAGATGATGGCCCTGAGGTCCCAGGCCTAGGGACTCCTCCCTTCAAGGTGTTTGATTATGTCCAATACGTTTTCATAACTCTGCTCCACCACATTCATGGACAAATTTGCAGCCTATGTAAATAGGTATGTAGACCTCTCATCCGTCTAACCTATCGATAGTCCTGAGTGTAGTGACGGTCCCCTTTCCACACCCATTCAGCTTTCCTGTCTATCTATGTGTTTACTAATATTGTTCTTGTGTGATTGTGTGTGTACTAGTAATTACCTCTAGTGCCTTGAACTGTTTTATTTCTCCAGTGCCTTACTTTGCCTTGATGATTTTGTTTGTTTGTTTGCTTACTCTCTCGTTAATAATTTTGCTCTCTTTTTTCCTCCTCCCCCTGGGAAACATGTTTCTTTTAATGTGGAAATATTTTCTTGTCTTTTTCTATAGTGATCTCATGCAGTGTGTGTCCTTTTTCAATTATTTCACTTGGTACACCATCTTCCAGATTCATTCATGTTATGACGTGTTCCTCACATTCATCCTTATTCTTTAGTGCTGCATAGTATGCTAAAACACAGGCTACAACATAGTATGCTAAAACAAAGCCTGGTTCGTTAACATAAAGGAGATAACCCATTCCCACATGAGAGTATAACCACAGGCATAGAAGTTAAGACTTACAATACATAATTTGGGAGGAACACAATTAAACCCATAACAGACTCTGAACCTCAAACTCTTAATTATAAACCATAGTTGGTTCATCCATACTTCCAGTGATGGGCATTTAAGCTGTTTCCATATTTTTGCTATTGTGAATAGCGCTGTGTACAAATGGTGTTGGAAAAATTGGATATCCACTTGCATAAAAACAAAATAGGCCTGTATTTCTCACTGTACACCAAAACTAACTCAAGATAGATCAAAGACCTAAAGGTGAAACTTAAAACTAGAAAGGCCATTAAAGAAAAAATAGGGACAAAATTAGAGGCCACCACCCCAAACCAATCACGGAAGGGCACATATCACATTGTGAATGAGGGTGTATATAGCTATTTGTGTCCCAACTGGGACGTATGCTGGGTCATATGGCATTTCTATTTCTAACCCATGAAGGAAGTGC